ATTGACCAAACAGCAAATTAAGAAGGAGGCAATCAAGCATTTAGGTTTAAAGAGGAGGATCAGGAGTCAGAGACTTGGGCTTATATTCAGGCTATGAAGGGAGGCAAAAGTTGCTGTTTGCTTTTCTGTAAAAAGGAAATAATAAGAGTATTTGTGTCCGTGAGTTAAGAGTATTCAATGAGATAATGTATTTAAGATGCTTAGAAGAGTACAGGTGTTACGGACTGAGTGCTTGTGTTCCCGCAAAATTCATATGTTGAAACATTACCCTCTAATGGGATAGCACAAGGGTACTCCAAAAAGTTCATGGAAAGTTGTATATTATCTTTTAACTCCATTTTTTCAAGTGCCCTGTTATTGAGAGGTGGGATCTTTGGGAGGTAATTTGGAATAGATGAGTTCATGAGGGTGGAGCACTCATAAATGGAATTAGTGCCTTTATAAGAGTCCCAAGGGAGCTTGCTTCCTCTCTCTGCCATCTGGGGACACAGCAAGAAGACTGCTGTCTGTGAACCAGGAAGCAGGCCCTCCACTAGACACCAAATCTATCAGTACGTTGATCTTGGACTTCCCAACCTCCAAAACGATGAGAAATAAATGTTTCTTAAGCCACCCAATCAATGGTATTTTGTTACAGCAGCCAGAGCTAAGACAACAGGACATAAAATTAGCACTTAATAAATGTTAGCTAGTATATCAGTTAGCTGTGGCTATATTTGTAGCTGTTGCAAACCTAGTGGCCCCAAAAGTAACCATTCATTTAGCTCATGATTCTGTGGGTCAGCAATTTAGGGTGAGCTTCACTGAGATCAGCCAGGCAGTTCTTCTGGTCTCGGTTGTACTTTCTCATGCATTTCAGTCATCTGTGGATCAGCAATGTCTTTATGCCTGAGACCTTGACTTAATCCTTTATTCACCATTGTCAATATCTGAAAACCCCCAAATTCAGTTTTGGAAACATGGGAAAAATCATAATTCACTCTTACAAAAATATGTCTATGTAACTAATAACTATTTCAAATTGTTATTGGTCTTCTTATACCAAAATCACATGACTTTCTTGAAATTCACCTAGACGAGTGGCTCGCCACATGCAGGCCCCAGAACAAATCCATTGGCATCATCCAATAGGTTGTTAGAAACACAAATTTTCAAGCCCCATTCCAGACCTACTGAATGAGAGACTGCTGGTGGCTTAGCAATCTGTTTCAAAAGCACCTCAGTTCATTCTGATACGCACTAAGTTTTGAGAACCACTAATTTAAACTTAAGGAGCAGAAAATCAGGGATGCATGCAAAATGGTAGCAATAGCAGAAATAAATTAGAATCAAGTTTTCAGTTTGCCTTGCAAGCATTCTAACTTACTAACATCATTATCAATTATCTAAAATTTTTTAGTTTTTAAAGGAAAACTGACACTCTGCCAGTGGCAGTCATCTAGAAATAGAGAAAATTTTAACTCTGTTCAAAACTTCAAAGATGGCCAGTTGGCATTCTGCTGCTGTTCATGCATGAGTAGGTTAGAACTTTCCAGGAAGGATGGCAGAATTTCATCACCATCCTTAGAGTCCCTGTTATAAAAATTATTGAGATATAGTTATTTCTCCTTGCCTCTTATTGCTTTAATTTCCTTTGCCAGCTGTGTTTTTTTTCCTCATTTCATAGTCTCTGCATAATTTTGCTCCCAAGAGTGTTCTTTTCCATGACATCCATATTTAAATTCTGTTTAATGCTAATTAAGTTAAGTCAGAAAGCTAGTTCTTTTCAGAATATGTAAACCCCATGCATATTTGAATAAGCAGCATTAGATAAATTTGCAATCATGTAAAATACAGTATATTAACATAAAATACAAGGAAGACTCATAGTTATAAATCACTTTTAGAGTTATCACTTACAACTTAATAGTATATTGTCAAATAAAATATCTTTTTTT